GTGGAGGCGGGGCCCGCTGGGCCCCCTCCGGAGACCAGGGGCCAAGAGCCAGAGCGACACGGCTCTCCCGGTCCCCCCGCAGACAGCCAGGGTGGGACATGCGCTGGACAGAGCGCGAGGCGAAGGGCAGCGCTGCTGAGAGGAAGGGCTGGCAGCAGCAGGACGCTGGCCTGCCCCGAGGAGCAGAGATCCTTGCACACACCTGCTGGCTGAGGGGCTGACGGCCCCCAGCACGGCTATTTCTCCCCCTCTGGAGCCCAGGGAAGCGCAGGCTCTGGTCTGCTGGAGGGTTCCTCGCTCTGTCCGCCGCCCTGTCTCCGCTCTCCCATCCATTCTGCCGGGATCGCCCTCCTGGCCAGCTCCACATAGACGCCGTTCTCCTGACAGGGAGAGGGGTGCTGCAAGGAGCAAGGGACAGGACCTGAGTCTCACCGCACGTATTGGGGCCCGTTTGGAGCGGGCAGGAGGCAAGGAACGCTGCTGGCTGATGTGGGGAGCGAGGGGTCAGGCCCTGCATACCCTCACCCTGGGGGGCTGGTGATGCAGGGGGTCACACCAGACCTACAGCTGCACTCCCTCCCCACACCTGCCACAGCCCGGGGCAGCTGCTCGCCTCCTCACCATGGTTATGTAGGTCTCCTCGGCTCTCTTCTTCTTCCCTGCATCCTGTTCAGCCTGGGGTACCTCAGCTCCAGGGATTGAGGAGTAAAGCGCTTCCTACAAGGGCAAGATCAGGACGCTTGGAACCAAGCGGTCCCGTGTACGCCATGTCCCCTGCCCTGCAGCCCTGCGCACCCCACGCCTCCCCACCCCCCACCTCTCCTCCCTCTCCTCGGTTCCCACGGGTTATGGGGGTGTCCAGGGCAGGACAGGCACACACTCCTCTCCACTCAGCTCAGCCTCAGCTCTCACCTCTGCTTTGTTCTTGCTGCCACTGTTTCCAGTCCTCTCCAGGGCCGTGATGGCTGTAGACCTTGAGGGAATGCAATGGCGGAGTCATCTCCAGCAAGAAGCATCACTTACTCTCGTCATGCCCTCCCTCCCCTGGGACACTGGGATCCCTTTGCACATGCCTTGGCCAGGCCATCCCCGCTGCTGGCACGCCAGGAGCCAGGAGGTTTGGGAGCGAGGGGGACCAGCCGGGGCCGTGTGACGCCAGCAGGCAGCAGGAGCCCGCACCCCGCTGCAGGTAGCAGCATTGCCAGGGGAGATGAACCCCCGGCTCCCCTGCAGCTCCAGCCCCGCTCCGGCAGGTGCCACGAGCCAGGAGGTTTGGGAGCGAGGGGGACCAGCCGGGGCCGTGTGACGCCAGCAGGCAGCAGGAGCCCGCACCCCGCTGCAGGTAGCAGCATTGCCAGGGGAGATGAACCCCCGGCTCCCCTGCAGCTCCAGCCCCGCTCCGGCAGGTCAGGCTAATGCTTGGCCAGGGAGAACAGTGTAGGAAGCCTGCAAGAAGGTGCTTTCCTCAGCCCATAAGCCCAGAGCAAGCCTTGGTACCTCTTCCTCAGGCTGAGTCCGGCCAGG